CCCATCCTTTAGGGGAACAATACATCACCCCCATAAATCGCATCTAGAGGCTTCGGCTAAAGACGGGTGAGTTGGGTTGGGGAAATTTGTACTTTGCATGTATTCTCGTGCATGTAATGGTTCTTTATGATTTAATAAATAAACGCCACCAACCTGATTGCGGGATTAAAAAAAAAAAAAAAAAATTAGTTTGTTGCTATTAACTTATTCAAAAGTAGATATTAAAGCTAATATATCAAGATTTTATTGATATTTTTATTATATAAATAATAAAAATTGAAAGCAATTATATTTTTTCTTTTGTTTATTAGTTTCTGTTATATTTTACTTGCTTCTTTTATTTTTTCAAGTTGAAATATATATTATAATATATTATATAATTAACAATAAAGTTCATAAGAATATTATTTTAATATTAAATTAATATTAAATTTATTATTAGACCTGTAGATCTATAGTATAATTATTAACACTCTACAGGTCAAATTACAAGATACCAGTTCAATTTCATGTAAGGGCAGTTAAATAGAATTAATATAATATCTGATGTCATAACTTGTAAAAAGTATTATTTCTTATGAGAAGTTATTTCATATGCTAATCCAGTAGACATTGAGATTGTGATTTTCAGAAAAGGTGTCATGGTATGACAATTGTCTAGTTAGTGCTACAATGATCATTAGAAGTTGCAAGATATATAAGATATTTGTTTTTGACAAGCAAGTTTAGTAATCACTCTTCTAATATCCAGTATCTTTTCCTGCAGATTTCTATTTAGGTTTCATCCCAATCTAGTAATAAACCAGTCTAATAATGCTTATCTTGAAAAGATATCTGGCATTAGATCTGTTCTGCATATAAAATAAGTTATAGTTTAAGCAATAAGAACCAGTTATAAGTCTACCTTGAATGTTTTTAGGCAATTTTTAGGCCAGTAAGAAATTAAATAATTAGTTCAGCTATAGGTAATAGTAAAAAATAATAATCCTAATGGAAGCAAGTAGAACATTTGGTTCTGTAGTTGCTTTTTTTACCATAAAACAAAATATTATCCTAGTTCATTTTCTTTATTTTTCCTTAATTTTCTTAATCAAAATAAAGCAGGTAATAATTTTGCTAAATTAATAATACTAGTAAAGTCTTGACACACTAATATCTTTTCAAAGACACAGAAGATCATAGGGTTTATGAAAATAATATTGAGCCATTTAGTTTTTACTTTTTAAAAATATACATGAGTTATAATTAAATTTGGAAGATAAACAATATATTAACTTGATAAGTATAATAAACTAAATAGCAAGGCCTTATTAATATTATGGAAAAAAATATATATTAAAAAAAATTTTTTTTTTTTTAACTGCTGAAGTGAGACAACACTCTAGCCTGCATTTATTTGTAGATAAGTCATTACATACAAAGTATATACAACATTAATCTATACTAAACACTGTATATAAGCTAGAATCTACCCACAAGCATTATGCCATCTGGGTATAGTCTGTCATCTAACTTTTTTCTTACATCTTCCGGCCACAGATTTGTAAAGCTTCCAGCAAATTTCTTATTAACACCATAGCCGATTACCCATCAGAGTGCTGTGTCTCTGGTGGAACCTGTGGCCTAAATTGTTTCAATACCTTTAAACCGTGGTTGACGATCCGATCCCTTTTTAGATAATACTGGGTTTCAAGCATAGGCTGCTTATTTTAAGAGAGCGTAACTTCTCCAAAGTCAGGCTAAGTCTTAAGGGGAATCTTCCATTCTGGCAAACGTTACCAACTGGGTACCTTCACTACAGGTAAGAATAGTGGTATTGCTGGTGAGTTGTTACTCTTTTCGGAAGGAGAGGACGTGTTAAGGGGTTATGCTGACCAGTTTCCAGTTTGTGACCCTCCATATATATTTCTTTTATAGTCTCATGGACTATAGAAAAGGGAAGCAGCCTGCTGTGGAACTGGGGATTGCACTAAACTTTTATGATGATCCTCGTAACACCAACTGGACGATCATCACACCACGTACCTTTTTCTGAAAATCATAATCTCAAAACCCACTAGATCAGCGTGTGACATGGCTTCCTATGAGAAATGGCGCTAGCCCAGGTTATGACGCCAGATACCATATTAATTCTATTCAACCGTCTTCACATGGAGTTGAACCGGTATCTTGTGATTTGACCTGTGGAGTGTTAACCACTACACTACAGACCCACAGGTCTCAAACAATTTATAATATATAAAATACCAATCATATTCTATATTATCTTTATATATCAAAATAATACAACAACTTATTGGATTGGAAGAGTATGTAATCAGTATTCTGCATAGGTTCCAATAATTACAATATACAATAACTTACTAAAATAATATAATAGACATTTGGAATGTATTCTAGTTATTCTATTATTTATATTATAATATAATAATATAATATAATAAAAATATCACAAAATCTCACATGATTAAACTTATCAAGTTATATATAGTTTATATAGTGCTGACACTTGACTGAAATATCTAATTGCATTCAGAAATCACATTTAACAAAAGTTTCAAAATTTTTTTCTTTTTTCTTTATATTCAAATATTTTATAATGCCAGTGATTTTGCCTCAAATGTTTTTATTATTTTTTATTTTTTATAACAAATAGTTTCTCAGGTTTTTCCTGCTCAAGAATTTTTTAAATAATATATTTGTTTAATAAATGATAGACCAATATCTATAGCAAATATAATTCATAGCTTAATATTAATCATGTAACAAGTTAAACTTTTACTTTATTAATAAATAGCAAGAGAAATGCCTTACTTTAATATTAAAAAAAAATGGCAAAAGCAAAAATCACCAACTTACACAACACCTAACCATTCAAATATGATAACATTTGATAAAATTTTAACTATATTAAACAATAGCAACAATATCACAAACAAAAAAATTTTTAATTTAGCAAATATTTCATCACTTTGAATAGGACTTAGCCATTCAACATTTCTAACAGGTAAACACCCACTAGGTGGCAATGCATATTAGTCATAAAGATCACAATAGGTTACAATTATTTATATTCTATGTAAAAAATTGTTAATATAATAACTATAAACAATTTGTTTAATAAAGGTCTGGCATTTAATGCCCATTTGCAATAAAAAAAAATAATAATAAATAAAATAAAAAAAAATAAGAATATCATATATAAAGTATATTGCATTATTTTTATAAAGAGAAATAAAAATAATTTTGAAATAGTTAATTAAGTAAGATTTTTTTTTGAAACATATTTTATTTATACAATCATGTGACTATTCATTTAGATATTTATTTGTTTTATTATTCCTAGAAATCAAGTATTATATTTTTAATCACAAAATATAAAATAAAAGAATAAAAAGAATAAAAATAAATAAATAAATAATAAATTAATTACATGTACTGTATATATGTAAAACAAATTATAAAATAATTTTTATCACAATAAATATTTGAAAAAGAAAATCAAAATTCTTTGTTGAATCATAGATCCTGTTTTTTTTACATGAAATTAACTTGAAACGTTATCAGGTTATAACGAAAAACAAAAACAAATGCGATAATTTTTAGGTTTTTATTTGTCATTATGTACACGAGGGATATTCAAAATGATATCAAGTATGTAATGTTATTTTACACACATTACTAGTTGAGGCAACAAACTCGACAAAATTTTTATTATTGTTTACTCAATTTGAACGTTAAAACAATGGAACAAAAAAATATAAATATAAATAATAATAATAATATACGTATGTCATTTAAAAGATCACTTGGCAATATAGTAATTTTAATCATTAAAATAATGACAGTTCAATTTAATTGTCAACTACAGTATTTCGTAGAAGTAAATTTAAAATTGTGCCACCATTGAATTTTATTACAATTAAAATGATAATATTTATATAAGAACTCGATCGTTAAAATACATCGATGTTACATATTGATGAAGAGAATGTGTCGAGACATAATTGTTTGTTTTTTTTTTTTGCATCTTGATCAAATCTCAAAACAATAGCTAAAAATACAAATCTCAAATAAAAAATTAATTAATGTTCGAAGAAGAAAATCATTAAATATGGATAGCATGTTTGTTCTTCTTTGTTGCATAGTTTCTTTGCGTATTATCTCTATTCTTTCCATCATCTCTCCACTTTTTCAAAAGTGTTCGTTCTCTAGAAAATCTCGCAGTTGTCTTTAATGCCTCTTTTAGGCTCGCCTCCGTAGTTGCGCTTGGTATATTTTCCAATATCCAACGCATGACATCATAATTCTTTTCTGACATAGCAAACATTAATATACTACGCCCTTCTTTATCTTGCTTTTCATCGTCCACTCCATAACCAAGTAATAAGTCATACAACTCTGACTTCCACTTATATTTGATAGCTAGGAACAGAGAGTTTTGAGAACAACAATCTAATATATCATCATCTTCGGAGAAGACTTCAGGCGTGATGAAGTCAGATGGAATGTAATTAGATGGTATGTAGTCGTTTGATCGTGCCTTAATAGTAAGATTTGGATTTGCCCCACAATTTAGCAATGATCCGATTATTGACAAATATCCATCTTTTCGTTCATTGGCTGCTATATAATATGACAGAATTGTTCGACCTCTGTAATCTCGGGAGTTTATGTCGCAACCGTTTTTCACAAGGAATTCGAATATAGTTTTTAGATTCAAGCATAGTTGTGCTAGATTTATTCTATTAATTTCCTCCTTAAATATCAACTCATTTTTATATATGCTGTGAAATGCCGTGCGTCTCGTAAATTCTGTTATATGTGCAAAGTTGGCATTGTGACGCATAAGTATCTCGAAGACTTGGCACATTTTCTCGCTGGAACAATGTTGGGCGGCAATTATAACCAATGGATCGCCATTGAAGAATGGAGAAATATCATCACCAGATTCTCCGTTCTCAAGATGATGCTTAAGACCAGCAACATCCTCGTAATAAATATGATAAGCGGCAGCGCAAGTTTCGGGAACGTTGTTTCGGCAACGTTTATCTTCCATAAAGCGACTGAGGATGTCATTGCATCTGAACGGATCAAACTAATGTTAAAGATGAAACTTCATTAGACAAGAATATTTCTTGGTATAAATAAAAATACAGAAGAGTTGTCATTTTATCGTTACCCTGTTCCTATTATTTCTAGGCACTTGAATTGGAACGGGTCGAACAGTTGGAGAACGATTATGTGGCGGCAGAAGTTCTTCACTGATCGGATTAGGAGTAGTTATATTTGGTTCCAACGAACGATTATGTAACGGTAGAAGCTCTTCACTAATCGGATTAGGAGTGGTTATATTTGTTTCTAATGAAATAATAATTAGATTCGAATGACATAGAATAAAAGCATTGTGGCATATGCTTAATAGTAAATAATACCTCTTGAATTTGATATGGGACTCGAGGTCCAAGACTGCTTGGTCAAAAAATTGCAATCCTCAAGTTAGTAAATAATAATATCTAATCACGTTGATAGCAAGGAATTTACTTACGTCAGAAAGATCAGAGTTTCCTTGGTTTTCTGGATTCACCACATGTATATTGTGAAATTCCAGTTCTACAAAAATCAAATGTTAAAAATTTAATAAAAAACATTTTTTGTTTTCTGAGAATTGTTACACGAACCTATCGAACTTATTTGGTTAATTTGTTCATGTGAAGGGTTGTACAGACCATCCATGGTTTTTTTATACTTGGGCATCATTTTCATGTTAACTAATCTGTCTCTTATATCTTGTATGGTAGGACGCAGGGTCTCATCCTCATCCCATGCTTCTCTATAAATCTTTATGTATTCAATCGGCGTTCCGTTGATCGGTTGTTCACGATGTCCACTTATCACCTTTCTATGGATTTCAGCTCGATTCATGCCTTTATATGGAGCCCGACCACTTGAAATTTCCCATAACAATATTCCAAAACTGTAAACATCAGAAGCCTTGTCTCGCACGAATCTGTTGTTTTGTAAGTATTTTGGATCAGTGTAGGCAACCGTTCCTCCTGTATATGATCCGTTGTCGATATTCATGTATTTTGATAACCCGAAATCGGCAATCTTCATTTGACCGTTATGAATCAGCACGTTTCCGGAATGCTGTTATATGAAGGTGAGTATGATTAGTGCAGATTCAAAGGAGAGTGTGGTAGCGTTTGGAATGAGACATACAAGATCTCGATGAACGATGCAATGCTTATGCATAACACTAAGCCCATTGGAAATTTCGATGGCCATCTTTCTTTTCGCTTCCCAATCAAGATCGAGAAACCTTCGTTGCAAATAATCTCTCAGGCACCCTCCGTTGGCGTACTGTAATACGAAATAATATTTATTGCTCTCCAGGTCTGGAGAATGGGTTGTTAAAAAAAAAATGAGACATGGCCGTAGAAATCAAAAAGTTCATGTAATTCTATTACGGCTTACCATAGCTAATGCCTAGGAATCTAATAATATTTTCATTAAAATCAACTTCACGGATGATTCTGATCTGGGAAAAAAAATGTAGCATAAATAACGACCCATAGGGAAAGGAGAAAGCAATTAGTTGATAATTACCTCACGAACAAATTCTTCCGTTAAATCATTATATAAGCCTTTCAAGGCCACTTCCATCTCTCCCTCCGACCAATAAGCACGAGAAATCTGCCCATAGGCCCCTCTCCCAACGACCTCCGCATGACTTAGCGCACTGTAAGGAATATATTTAATATATCTCTCGGATACGGCTTTATGCAGCCATTGTTTTTCATTCAGATCCGAATAGTTCATTTTATTGTAATTTATACAATGATTAGATTAGAAAGGAACGTAAACTGTAAAAAAAAAAAAAAAAAAAAATTTGAAGTCAGGGAGAAAATAAAAGAAACGAAACAATGTATCACGTAAAGCCAAACCATTTATATCCGTGTCTTACGATTTTCGTGTGCCTGCATGTAACATGGTAGATTTTTTGAATTCATTCAACATGGCTTTATTTGGTCTTCATTTGCATGATATACGTCGTACTATTTATGTATTATGTGATGCATGGAATTTTGAACTCCGTTCTGCATTCTACGTTCGGATAAATGCTCCGAGAAACGATACCAGTCAGGAGAAAGCGCGATGTGTAAACAATACGGAAACGAATGTTGAATCATCGTCATTATCACATATGAAGAATAAACAAATCTCGTTTTCGTATGTTTAAGTAAGAGAATGTCAATAACAAGTATCGTGAAGCACGAGAGATCAGAGAAACATATGAAATTTTACAGGAAAGAATAAATGAAAAGAAAAAGATTCATTACGCAAGGGTTAGCTCAGAGAAACAGAAAGAGAGCCTTGACAGACACAATGCGATTACCTCAGGCGGAAATATCCAGATCGTGAATTCGTCAGAAACATTGGGTCAGGTTTCAACTGAAAACGCAAGTGTTTCACATCCATCGTACCGAGGAGATATCGAATGGATTCTTGGTAAGAACAATACAAAGATCATGGTAATCGGTTCGGACGTCAATGTCGATGACACTGGCTTGCCGGGGGGCTTATTATCAATCGCTACTATCTTCACGGAAAGACACAATGGGCTCAGATTAGTTGAAAACCGAAAACGAAAAGGAATGTTAAAATCACGAAAGACGTTGATTTACCCAACACTTGGGAAAGAGAAAAGTCAAGAAAACGGATGGAAACTGTGAGATGGACGTACAACAATGTTCTTAAGATGGTGCAGGACGATGGAATTACCAAGATGAACGTCAATTAATCGAGTGGGTTAACGGTGATTTTAATAAAATATTTAATTAGCCTAACGAAAGATTTGCGATGCTAATTTGATTTCATTTCAGGTTTCAGACGTGGGAATTTGTAAAAATGATCTCTGTGGATCAAAGTGCGTGTATCTTGCTCAAATATTTAACGGAGGCCAGGTTTTTGCCAGACTGGGACTTGAACTTACTGTATATGGGATATAATATGCATAGTACTGTAAAGACTTTATTTAGTCAATTTTTAATAGTGTTAGTAAACAATAAGCCTCGTGATTCATTGTACAACAGAATCGTTTGGGCTAAATATACAGTAATACGAAAATATTCGGCTTGTCAAGTATGATCGATCACGCTACATACCTTTTTCGGCGAATCAGCAAAGTGAAATTCAATGTCTTGCCGTCGTGGTGATATTATTATGTATTGTCGTGGAGCAATTCGGCGAGTCAGTCACGAGAGCGCATTAAGTAATTACCATTTTCATTTTCAGTAAATGCATGTACAAATTCGTCGTTTTCATGCGAGATTGGATTTTTACAACACCTACAGTCGAAACGGATAACAATCATACTGACCTAAACAATACCTTTTTAGGATACACAATACTGTATGTTACAGTAATAGAATTTTAACTACTGTACAATACTACGCATATGTTATAATCAATTGTAATTGTGTGGTAACGGTAGAATAGCATTATGCCTTCACTCAGACATTGTTTCGAGCGACCAAAAATATATTCTGAAGGTGTGGAAAAAAATTAATAAAATGACGTCCTTTGAAGTTTTTTGTCAACAACTCAAACAATGTTGTTGAATATTCGAAATTTTCTGTTATCCATTATGATCCTGGGGATCATCAATGCGGTCAAGTGTTATCACGTGACTTCTTCACTCGAATCATATAGTCGGAAATCATTTGACGGTTGTAAAAATCTTCATGAAGAATTTGTAAGAACAAACACCGCCACCTGGGAGAATGCCAAAGCTTGTTTCGAAACTTTTCCGTATGACTTTGAGATTGCAAATGAGGTACGTATCTCGTCTGCTACGTTGATTAACGTACAGTATATATTGCGACCACAGAATTAACTTTTCTTTCGAATTAAGACGATTAACACCTTAAAGGGACTTTTCGGTGGTTTCTATTCATTCTTGAATCAAGCGAAGGAAGAACCGAAGCCTGGATTCACCTTCAAGCCCATAGATTTATTAGACGAATTTGATAAATTACTGAAAAAGAAATATGAAAAGGAGTTTGATTTTTGGGTACAGTATACAGTATACTTTTTATGTTATGTGAGCATGACTAATACCCGTGTTTGTATAAATATAGCATGACGTCGCATCAATCATATTTTCATTAAGGGACGCTCACGTTGGTATTATAAATCTTTGCTACGATGCATTCATATTTGATCAAAGATTATCATTATATTCGGCTGTCATTGACGGAAAACAGGTTATTATTATTATTTTCGTTGTGATATTATTTGTTAGGTCAAAGTTGAAGTAATAATCGATCGAATTTCCAAACTTGCAGATAATTAAGGTGTTCAATGATATCGAGGACCCCACTAACGTCGACTGTCAAGTAACCGAGATTGACGGTGATCCCGCCTTAGATGTTATTGTTGAATTTGCGCGCGATAAAATTAGAACATCGAGAGATTTAGGAGTCCGATTCAACAAGTCAGTAATTAAGAATCTTCTTACTTTAGAATAATTTTATATCTTTTTAATTTAGAATAATATTTTTAAACGAATCATCTTTGCATCCAGTGCCCTAGCATCTTTGACTCTCGAAGGAGGGGTCATCAAATTAGACTCACTTTCGCGACAATTCTCTTTGCGATCACGATTACCACCGACTCCAACAATTTCTTATGCTTTAGAGTGTCCTGGCAATGTAAAAAAGAATTTTACTCGCCAGTGGTTTGTTAGCGACCCACGCTCGGTGCGCAAGAACTTCACGGATTCTGCCTCATATCGTAAAGCACTTTGTACGAGACCCAGCGACAACAAGAAAGGCTCAACTATTTCTTCAGTTAGTTATGAAGATAAAATTTTTGAGCTGGAGTTGAGCGAAGGGAATTTGACGGTTGATGCTCACATTGCCAGATTTTACACCTTGCAAGACTTTGGTGTGGTTGTTATTTCTACGGAAGATATCTCGAGTTATAATATTAGCCTAATTAACGACACGTTGATAAAGTTAAATGATGGATTTCAGGATTTTGCACGGAAAGGAATAAAGAAGGTATACACAGTAATCTTCGCATGTTTATATTATTTAACTATGACAATAATATATTCTTACGTTAAAAATAGGTGGTCCTTGATTTAACAAATAATAAAGGCGGTGAGCTCATTGTCTCGGAATACATCCTTGTGCTCTTATTCCCAGATATAACACCATCTTTTCCGGCTGACCAACGACTCACGGATCTTAATGAACTTGCCATCAGCACCGCTTCGGACAATTCGTCTACCGCAGTTAACTCGAAATTTAGTATGCGCCTACGATTGCTAGCTGAAAACAAAAAAGTTTTTACCTCCGTCCAAAAATTCTTTGGTAGCAACTGTTTTACGCGTGGTGGTGTGCATGGAAGGTACTCTACAAAATACTTTTATGACATCGAGTCCATTGCAAGAAGAAACAAGGCCCGAGTGCAACAAGGAACAGACCCTGTACCACTAAATTGGACACGTGATAACCTAATCATTTTAACAAATGGAGCTTGTGGGTCTGCGTGCGCAACGATAACTCAAATATTGGTGGAAAAGAAAGAGATAAAAACGGTGGCTGTTGGGGGTTTACTATCGCAACCGCAGTTGAGCTATTCTTCGTTTCCCGGTGGGGTGATATTTACATCCGATCAGTTATTACACGAGCTAAATCAAATTGGGTTAAACAGATCCACTAACAGCTTGATACCAGATAATTTTCCGCAGTTGATTTTAACTAGTATGTCCATAGACGAATTTTACAGTAGCACATTAGACAATGTGGTTTTAGAGTTTTTCCCGAGACCTTCGGATTATAGATTATACTACGATGAGCAGAGCATGAGGGACCCTAGTAAATTATGGATTCAGGCGGCAAACCTGATCGGAAAGGATTCGTGAAATGAACGCATACATCAATATTTCATTATAATTTCATTATAATTTCATATTACGCATCAATTTTTCATTATAATTTCATATTACGCATCAATTTTTCATTATAATTTCACATCACGCATTGATATTTCACTATAACTTCTTAACATACAGTAATGTTTCACCACAAATAATAGAATTGTATTTAATAGCAAGTGATATAGAATATTCGTAACGCATTAAAAATCATCAATAAAAAGTTTGTTTTTTTGATATATTGTATAATCTTTTCGTGCGTACAATCAACATTCTAGGATTTAGCCTTCCCCAATGTTCTATGATATGCCATCAAATACGACCCAAATGTACTTCTATTTAATATGTACACCTTTCCTCCGTTGGCTGCCACCATTAGATCCACCACAGGCATCAAGAATTTACCTAAATGTTTATCGCCTCCTCTTGTGTTTTTCAATTTCAAAAGTGGTTCGAGTTGTTTACTAAAGTCGCTTAACGTGTATGTACAAGGAAATTCTTTGATCAATGGTTGTATGGTAGGAGAGTGCGGTGGTGCGTCAGTGGCAAGATAAAGTATCGCTCGTGTCCTATTGTCATCTGGAAATCGTTTGGTGCATTCTTCTTGAATTCTTGTGATATTTGTGCTTTTCGATATCCTTTTCCGATCCTTTGTCAATCCAACCTTAATTTTATTTATCAAACGATTTACCCTATTATTTCGGTCTCTCATAAAATGGCCATCGTTGACTCGTGCGTGAGCACTCATAAAATTAAACCTTCCCCCCAGTTCCTCAACGATGGCATTCACCACCTGATGCACTACGGGGTGACTCGGAACAAATTTTTGCAGCTTCTTTATGAATTCACAAGAAGTCGGAAGTTGACAGACTACACGTTTTGGCCCAAAGAAACTTGCCACGTATATTAATTTTGTGGAAGAATTGCGGAGATCTGAAATCAGATCAATGTGTACACGAGAGGAGATGTTTTTAGGTGTATGCTCAAAGAACCGATGGGCATGAGGGCCATGCTTTATGTAATAGATTGCATTTGAAGTGTTTTTTTCGATGTTTATTGTCTTGTAAAGTTCGGTGTCATTGAAATCCTTACGATGAATGATTCTCACATGTTGTCTCACAAATTTGAAGTCAAATAATCTATCCCATCGATATAGTGCATATGCGTCATGAAATTTCTCACATTCTTTAAAATTTAGTTTCTGCCTTATGCTTTCTTCATTTGTCTCGCTTTCTTTTTTCTTAATTATCCTTTCACACACGTCTTTACTTCGTTCAGCACTCAGTTTTGCCAATTTTTTTGTCAATCTGTCAAAATCCGCGTACGCTAATCTCGAACCTAAGATTAACGGTGGGAGTATGAGAGTGCGATTTAGAAGGTAGGCGACGGTGATGGCATTTTGTAGTTCGATACGCTGATTATTAAGCCCACTGTGTGGTAAGTATGTTATATACTTTTCGTCATCTGAGTGAAACTCTGTTTTACTTTCAGGAAAATTGTCTGTTTTCTCATTGGTGCCGATCCTCGACGAATTCCACGTCACCGCTGATTCCTCTTTTGACAACGAAGGTTGAAAATACTCTTTGCCTATAGTGCTCGATTCCAGTACTATAAATATCACAGCTAACATAATAATAAAGACTAAGATTTTTGAGTAGTGCTTCATTGGAGATCTGAATCGTAAATAATGCGAAGGCAAGTAATGCCAAGAGTCGGAAAAGAAATTTGCAATTGAAATGTATGATGAATTCTTCCTGATGTGTCCTCTTTTCATATTCCTATTCTTCTTTCTTTATTTTCTTTTTTTTTGTCCGCTCAAGAATTCTACTTATTGAGATGATAGAAAAAGTATGTCATATTCTTGGCATCCTTACCTTTTATGTATGTATCGTGATTATTCTACAATTCCGCAGCTTTATTTTTACAAAACACGTATAGATTATTATGCAAATATTCGCCGCAGTGTTATCACTATGAATAAAAAAATATTGATTACTTAATAAGTTTAGAATCATAGTGCTTTTGCTTCACAGCCTGAAACCGAGATCGGTTAGCGTGCATGATCTACTGTAATTACTTCATTCAAGGATCCAGTGAATGTATCAAAAAAAACTATGGATGTTTGTTTGGTAATTAAAGTAATTAATTGTACCTTAAAACCTCGACCATTTCCCCGAAAACTCCGTGAGTTTTCATGTCGAGGATTTTTTGAAAAAATTTCTGTACGTATATGCAAAGTATATTTTTTTTGATACCATCATGTGATTCTTGAAAGCAAATAAAATTTGTTACCACATAATTCGCATGGTTAAAAAAAATTTTTTTTTTTATGAACAAACATCAGTAAATAAGATAAGTTTACTCGACGAATTTATATTTATTTTTAAAAAAACATATAATAATATTGTAGTAGTATCATCGATTAATTTCAATTTTTAAAAATTTTTTCCTAAAATAAATAAATAAATAAATCGATTTTTAATAATTCAATAAAAGTAACTATTGAAATTATTTTAGCACAGAAATTTGGTAAATGAAAACAAATAAAATTATAATATTATATTTACGATTTTTTTTTTTTTTTTTTTTTTGTTTGAGAAAAAAAAAATATAGAATTTTATATTAAAATTGATTAGTTTCTTGATTACGTACACGAAAAATTTATAAAATCGATTTATAAAGAAAAATAATAATAAAGATTAAAATGATTTTTATAACAATACTTTAAAACATAAAAAACGTTCGATAATTTTTTTTATAAATTAAATTTATATAACCATAATTTTAGTACATTGTTAAATTTTGTTGGTAGTGCAGCACGTCCTACTGCATAAATAGGTCACGAGGCTACCAATCCTTGAAAAAAAAAACCCTAAATATACTGTAGTACGTACATGTACGTACGGTCATCATATCGTCGCTATTTGAAATCAAGCGTACAGATGGATGACAATGAGAGATTATTTCAATGTGCTATTACCGAATACGAATTGAACAACATTCCTATAATAAACTTAAAAAATAAGAAAAGGATAGGAAGAGGAGCATTCGGTAACGTGTATAAATGCAATATTGACGAAGATTCTAGAATGGTGGCAATAAAAGAAATAACAGTTGGCGATGAAGATAGCGATACATCTATTAAATCCTTCCTTAATGAGGTTTTTATTTTATAAATAAATTACTCGTTTCGGAAAGGTTTATTCATAAATGTTTTGTTTGATTTTTAGTTAAAGTTACATAGCAGGGCCAAAAACCATCGTATTATTGAGTTATTTGGAATGGGCTATGGTCAGAAAGTTTATATTAAGCACCGAATTATTTTTAAATAAGAGTTATAAATTAACAGTGTTTAATTACAAATATAAAAATGAAGATTTATGCTACCTTGTGATGGAACTCGCCGAGTGTCATTTAAGGAAGTATTTAACGAACAAAAAAGACGAACTTCAATGGGATAAAAAAATAGAACTCGCAATCCAATTAACAGAAGGGTTGTCTTACATCCATAATGTGATGAATGTAGCACACCGTGATTTGGTATCGCATTACTGTATATTTTTGTAAAGCCGTTATTCATAAAATAATTTGTTTGTTTGTTTAATTATTTTGTTTAGCACACAAAAAACGTTTTGATTTGGCAAGGAAACGTAAAAATTGCGGACTTTGGACTATCGAAAAATCTTAACAGTGTCATGTCAACTAAAAGCACTATTTTTGGAGTTATTCCCTTCATTGATCCTCAAAAATTGGCGAATTATCATTATAAATTAGATACCAAATCCGATATTTACAGTCTTAGTGTGATATTCTGGGAAATTTCAAGTTGCTTCTCACCATTTTATCAAGAGGATAAAACTTCCATTATCAATAAAATTATCCAGAATGTACGTGAAGCCCCTATTATTGGAACCCCTTTGTCCTTTATTCAACTTTATTCCAAATGCTGGGATACATCGCCTTTGCTTCGGCCTACCGCAGATCAAATTCTTAATGAACTTAAATCTTTATCTCTTGATCCAATGTATGACGGTGATAACTTTGTTAATGGCATACTATCAAATACAAGCGGTGAATGTTTAATTAGTTATCCAAATATTGGAGTGTTACTATTGTACTAATATATATATATTTAATTAGATTCGAATAATAACAATTATTCCGCAGATATCTTTGGAGAATCTTATGATGTAAGCAAAAGTTAAGATTGAACAACTTTGAGCAAATTATATTATTAACATTTTAATCATTTAAACAGGACAGCATTGATAGGGGGCAAGTATAAAGTTTATAATAAAAAGGCAGAAAATCGTTGGATTTATTCTTCATAAATACTAAATTTAATTTAATTATCAATGAAAAGTTAATTTAAATTATATTAACCTTATTTTATTATTATACATATCATACCTCTTTGAACGATTATTAAATCTATAGAACGTATGTATAAAGCTTTATAAGTTTATGCAGACTAATATTTATTCCCAAATAACTCCGCTAACTAATTATAAATTTAACAATTATTCCAGCGAGTAAGCGAATTTTCATGCCTACTATATTAGTAACATTAAATTACCGAATAACTAATAAATAATTAATTTACTGTAATACGATAGAAGGTAGATCTAAAGCTTATTAGTTATTCTTCATTATTTCACTATTCACTATTCCCGAATGATTTTCCTAATTACTTATTGATTTATTTATAATAGCACGTAAGTCTAAAGTTTTTAAGTTTGCACTTATTGACATTCGATTTATAAATAACTCCGATTGTAATTGATATATGATAGCTAGTAAGTCTAAATTTTATCTATTCATGCTCATTAATATATCATTCCTAAATAAACAAATAACAGATAATTTTAATAACATAGCGAGTAAGTTTAAAGTTTAAGTTCGTGCTCATTAATTAAATAAATAACTAAATAACTTTATCGGACGACAAATAGGCGGTAAGTCCAAGTTATAACCTCGCGCTCATTAATTCTTCATTCCTAAATAACCAAATAACCTTATTTTATGACTCAATAGGCCGTAAGTTCATGTTTAAGTTCGTGCTCATTAACTTTCCATTATTAAATAGCTAAATAACTTTATTTAATGACAATAGTTCGTAAGTTCAAAGTTTTAAGTTTATGCTCATTAATATTCTATTACTAAACAACTCTGTTTTAATGATACAATAGGCCGTAAGTTCAAGTTTTAAGTTTATGCTCATTAATACTTCATTCCTAAATAACTAAATAACTCTATTTAATGACACAATAGGGAGTAAGTTTAAGTTTTAAGTTTGTGTTCATTAATATTTCATTCCCAATAACCTTATTTGATAACATACTGTAATAGGGAGTAAGTTCAAGTTTTAAGTTTGTGCTCATTAATATTCCGCTCATAAATAACCAAATAACTTTATTTGATGACATAATAGCTAGTAAGTTCAAGTTAAGTTTGTGTTCATTAATATTTTATTTCTAAATAGTTAAACAACTTTATTTGATGATACAATAGCTAGTAAGTTCAAATTTAAGTTCGTACTTATTAAATTCTACATTCTTAAATAACTAAGTAACTTTATTTAATGACACAATAGCTCGTAAGCTCGAAGTTTTAAGTTCGTGCTCATTAATTCTCCATTTATAAATAACTAAATTACTTTATTTAATCACTCGATAGGCCGTAAGTTCAAGTTTAAATTTTTTCACATTAATTTCCGTTCCTAAATAACCAAATAACTTTATTTGATGACACAATAGGCCGTAAGTTTAAGTTTTAAGTTTGTGTTCATTAACTCTCCGTTCTTAAATGGCTAAATAACTTTATTTAATGACACAATAGCTCGTAAGTTCAAAGTTTTAAGTTCGTGCTCATTAATATTCAATTGCTAAATAGCTCTATTTTAATGACACAATAGGCCGTAAGTTCAAGTTTTAAGTTTGTGCTCATTGATTCTTCATTCCTAAATAACTAAATAACTTTATTTAATGACATAATAGGCAGTAAGTTTAAGTTTAAGTTCGTGCTTGTTAATTCCCCATTCCTAAATAATGGAATAACTAACTCTATTTAATGACACAATAGGGAGTAAGCTCTAGTTTTAAGTTTGTGTTCATTAATCTTCTATTTCTAAATAACTAAATAACTCTATTTAATGGACAATAGGCTGTAAGTTCTAGTTTATGTCCGTGTTCATTAATTCTCCATTCCTAGATGATTAATAACTCTATTTAATGATTTAATAATAGGCGGTAAGTTCAAATTTAAGTTTGTGCTCACAAATATTCCATTCCTAAATAAAAAAAAATAACTTTATTGGATGCCATAATAGCTAGTAAGTTCAAGGTTTTGGGTTTGCACTCATTAATTCTCCATATAAATAATTAAATAACTCTATTTGATGACACAATAGGGAGTAAGTTCAAGTTTTTAAGTTTGTGCTCATTAATTCTGCATTTTTAATTAACCAAATAAATATTGATTAATGAAATAGCTTTGGCTGATCCAAAATTTACAATTCAGGTAAAATAAGTTGCTACATAATAATTTTAGGTCGAGTCAAACTGGGTCAGGGTACGTTTAGGCTGACAAACCACATCAAATGACTATAATGTATTTTTGTCCTAGTTCAAGAATAAAAATCCAATGATACTTGAAAGAGTCTGCTTGGAAGTTAAAACATGGCTATTACAGATTTCTGTGATCCTATTCTTTCGATCGATCATCTCAAGCATTTAATGTGTCAACATATAAGTGATGTTTGCTTAACAAAAAAAAAATTACGAATTAGGCTTAAGACATCTTGATTATAATAATGTTGTTAGCCTGATAAAAGTCATTGGCATAGTCGCGTACCATGATTGCCAGGTCATGTGCCCTGTAAATTCCGAGTAGCATTAATAATATGCATTGATTGTAAAAGTTTGAATAACTTACCTGATAACTTATTTTAGTTCTGGTAGTCTATTTTCCTTTAATTGTTTTTGATATAAATGGTTATATTATAAATAACAAAGATAGAGATAAAAAAAGGTTTTTAGTTGTGAGCTGCAATTGATTAATAAAAGCAATATTTGTGTTTGGTTGCCAAAAATAAATATTTAATAACTTATCTTTTTAAGTATGTCTTGTTCAGGAAAAAATAACTGCTGCTAGGAAAGGACATGGCACAGCTTATCAAGAAGGAGCCAGTGTCAAGAAAAAAGAAAAAAGAAAATTAATAAAAGAGATACTTGTCAAATTAACTATACATATTTCAGACTTGTGGGTCTATAGCACAGTGGTTAGTGCTCCACAGGTCAGATCACAAGATACTGGTTCAACTCCAGGTGGATGCAGTTGAATAAAAGAATAAAATATAGTATCCGGCACCATAACCTGTCAAAGTGTCGTTTCTCATACAAGCTGTTTCACATGCGATAATGCAAGCAATGGGATTGTGACTATCAAGAAAAAGGCGTAGTGGCATGATGATCATCCGGTTGGTGACATGACGATTATCAGAAGTAACAAGAAATGCATAGATACCTGTTTCAGTAAGAATAAAAAGAATTGGTAATCATTTTCCTATGGGTATCAAGGCATCTCTTTCATGAAAAGGTTTTCCAATCCAGTAATACGTCGGCTTGCTAGTTACCTATTCCAGAAAGACAGCTACAAAGGCAGAAAGACCTTGGCCATTCTTGGGTAGCTAAAAAGAAGATGATAATTACGGATAGAATTGAAGTTAGTATCAAATAGAAAAGAAAGAAATGTGATAGGTAATGCTTGAGTAAGTAAGCAGGGTGGCAGACTATACCTGGATAGGTTAAACTTGTGGGTAGGTTCTAGTTAATATAAGATTAATATAGTATAGACATAGCACATATGTAACAAAAACTATCTATGTTAATAAAACTAGAGCGTTGTCTCACCTTAGCATTAAAAAAAAAAAAAAAAAAAATTAAAAGATTTATTTAATTTTTATTTTTTTATTACTATTAAAAATATTTAAAATATATTTATAATAAAATTTATTTATTTAAATATCTTATATAAAACTTATAACTTGAATATTTTTTTAAAATAATTAACAATAGAAAAAACTTCTTACTAAATTAAAATAAAACTTTTTTTTTTGAAAATTAATTTTATACAAAAGAAAAAAAAAAGTATTAAAATATTTTTGATAAAATAAATATTTTTTTATTATATAATATTATTAAATTTGTTATTATATAAAATAAAATATATAAGGAAAAAAAAAACTCTCTCCTGATTATGTCTGTTTTGTTAAAAAATTTCTTTTTATAGTAATTTTAAACAAGAAAAAATGGTTTACACTCTTTATTACAAGTGAACTTCAGCTCAGGAACTCAAGAACCTTCAAGACAACTGGTGCAGTAGAATAAAACCTCTGGTTAAAGTCTATTCAAGTTTGGAAGTCTTGCTTATCCTTTAGTTACATGAGAAAAGACCCATGGCAATTCTCTATTCTTTTATTCTTTTGCATTCCTCCTTATCCTTATTTTATCATAAAAACCATTCACATCATTACTATCATACTTGCTATAACAAATAATTTTCAAAATACATACTTAAATAGAGTTAGTAAGTCTACTGTTTGTTTCAAGTCAACTCACAAATTTTACTTTATCATAGCAATAATTACTGTGCTATCCCAAATTCCTCAATATTTTTTTCTGATCAAAAAACCAAAATCAGCTTACTCCTATAGATAATCAGTACTTTTCAATCATCCAATCAGATTTTGCTCAAAAATCAAAACAAAAACTGAACCTGTTTAAATGGTTTTGTATCATAACAACAATTGCAACAATAATTATAACAACAACATTAGTTACATGTTCATTAACAACTATAACAACAAACAACTTCACATATACTTCATTATCTATAGTAATCAAAAAGCTAAAGAGATGGAACCACGAGTCTGTCTGGAGGCTTTCTTAGGGAAATAATTGATCTTATACTTATAGATTTTATAATTTATTTGATATAGTTTTAGTTATAGTTATATTTCTTTTCTTTTCAACTATTATATATTCAAAAAATCAAAAGAATTCATAAAATTTTCTAAGTTGATAGACATAGCTGCTACTTAGCTTTATCTAGTACTATAATATTGCTTTTTAATTGTTTTACAATATTAGTTAGGTAATATTAAATAGGCAAGCTAGCATTAAACTTTTCTGAAATAATAAAAGAGATGTTGTTTCTTTTATAATATATACTTTATTATATTTAATATCAAATAAAGAAATGATATTTACTTATAGGGGAAACCTCCCTCAAAAAAATAAAATAAAATAAAATATATAAGACTTGTAAATCAATAACATAGTGAATAGTACTTCCAGATTTTCAAATGTATGTCCCTAGTTCAATATCTATAAGAAACAAAAGTGTATTTACTTTTATATGTAGATTTATTGAATATCTTATATATATTATATCCAATAATTCTTAATTACATCTAAATTTAATTAGGCTGAATGATAATGAAATTTCTGATCTTTTTGATAATTATGAATTAAAAACAGATCAAAATACAAAAAGTTATATAAAGAAAAGTTTCTAGTCTAACTTTATCAATAAATATACAAAACTCTAACTAAACTAGTAATAATAGA